AATATTTCATGTATCATTCATTAACTTCATCAATAAAATATTAAATTTATTAAATCATATAAAACCATAAATATAATTGGATATCCACTAGCATCTTGCGAGATAATTACGCGAGATTTCAAGAATTAATGAAAGTAACATTAAAGAGATGAGCGTGTGGATTACTAAGTAAGCTTTTGGAGAATTCATTAAATACATTTAAGAATAAATCCTTGAACTCGTCGATAGTGTTTGAAAAATCCATATTCACCTTAAACTCAACAAATTGAATAAATGGAGTACGATGAGCAAAAATAAGAATGATAAAATAGATATATAAAGAAATGATAAAGTATTTCAGAAGGATCTTTAGAATATCAATTTTTGATATTCCCTTTACAATCGATTTCTTGATTTGCTCATCTCGATCACTAGGATCACTCAAATCGGTAAATGTATGTTCTCTAGGATGAGAATTTTTTCGTTTGTAACTTTTTGACATTATCAACTTGATTTCTCTAGAATAATAATCCCAAAAGACACTTATATATATAATTTCATTTCAAATAAGTATTCGCAAAATTATTCACACAATCAAACTATAGTAATTATATATTAACCATGTTTGGTAATTTTAAAATTAAAGAATTAATCATGTTTGGTAATTTTGAATTGAAATCTTTAGATAAATTATAAATACACATAAATACTTTATTTCTGAAATTTCACTGAAAGATCATTACAATGAATGAAGATATACATCGCATCATATTAGAAATTCTATTTGAGAATTTTCTTTCTCTCGAATTCAATTATACAAATTTAAAACTCGTCAATAAAAATTTTTCAAAACTAGTTGATGGAATAATCCATTTAAAAATACTTGAATTTGCAAGTGGATCTTATGAAAAGAATCATCTTCTCCATTTAGAATTCCTTCCTTCAGATGATTTTAACGAACATAAAATTCGTAAATATCATGATGAGGTATACATCTCACCTGATCACAATCACATCTGGACCAAACCTGCATACATTCAAGAAGATATTATAAAGTTAGATGAAAAACATGAAAAAATAAAAAAAAATATCAATACCTATTGTCAGTAATCGATATATCTTATTTCATTCTAAGATAATTCATAGTTTTTACAATTCAAAGGCTGAACAGCAAAAGGAACTATTAATGAAAAATAGATACGATGGTACTCTTCACTGGGTTCCAAGTGGTAAAGAATACTATTCAATAAATAACGAAAATTATAATTATAATGTTTATAAGAGTAAATACTACAACTTCAATATTCTGAAGACTGATATCTATAACGAATTGATGGATAAAATTATCAACATTGATTCTCGAGAAATTGATGAAAAATATAGATTTCTCTACTTATATATTCAAAGAGACCTCAATAGAATGTATATTAGATTAAAATTAGGTAATTATAATATCATTTTATTATTCATTCTCATTCGCTGTGAAGAGAATAACATAGAATTCAATCCACCCCCTGAATGCGTTTTAAAATCAAATTACTTGGAAAATTTTAGCTATTATGCATATATCAGATTTTTCGATAAATATTTGGATATATTCACCTGATACAATCAATTTTTTTTAATGATTTTCTATAACATTATTTATCTTAATTATTCTTCAAAAAATCATGTCAAAATTGATACGGAATGATATTTCATTAATTTAACCTATAAATAAATAAAATCTTATTAAATAAAATACATAAAATCAAATTACATACATAAAATTATATACAGGGACTTAATTTTCATTATATCACATTCCCTCGATTCATTTTTCATATTCATTTTGCGTCTAGGTCCTGATTTTGGTCCACGTTTTTTTAATAATTTCCTTCTCACACAATTAATACCTTTCAATTCACAAACTGAACAAGGATCTCCATCATCACAACGAATTCTCTTCTGAATACAATAATTACAAGCACAAGTGACATTTTTTCTCATTTTCGTTTTCATTTTTAACTGAAAATTTCCCCACCTTCTCTCAATTTATACTATCATCGGAAAAACCAAATAAAATTTATTAACCAAATATATATATAATAAATCTTGATTGCGGAAAAACAGATAAAATTTTATTAACCAAATATATATACAATGAATCTCGATTGCAAAAAAACTAACCTATCGCAATTTTGTATATCTAAAACTTATTAAGAACCATCACGTGTGGGAATTTCTGCCACACGTGATGTTTATCAAATATATGATATACAATAAATCAAATCGAAAATATAATTCACAAACAATACCCTTAACATTACATATGGATAATATCCTTAACTTTTTGCATTAATAACTCATCAAATAAAGGATTTTTATGAGAAGCCTCCTTATCATCCAAAAGAACTTTAAGAAATTTATCATAATCACTAATAGACGCTGTCATTAAAAATGTGGCATTAATTCAAGCCTTCACAAGAAAATCCACCTGACATCGAGTTATGTGAAGTAATTTGATCAATCTCCACATTCCAGTCCAGTATCTCCGCTCCTGCCTTCCATCAATACAAAGAATAGTCATCATCTTCTCTGCAACAAGACCACGTAGAATTTTTGATATAGGTGGAATTCCATTCTTCTGTTCGTAATCCATCATAAGTACTACAAGTAATGACAGAAATGGTTTCCGAAGATTATATATCATTTTCAACATGTTCTTATCAGCTTTCCGCTTAATCAATCCAAGTTTATCATATTGAATAATTCATTCCTTAAAGTAATTCTCCAACGTCTCAACATCCAATGTTAAATAAGATGGTAGAGATGGTAGGGATACGGATGAAAAATAAATGTCGTCATCACCAAAAAGAGAATCGAAATTAGAGGTAAGAAAAGATTCAATCGAATCATTCCTCAAAAAAAGTTGATCACCACGTACATCCAATTGATTGGTTGTAACATCGGTAAAAATTTTTTTTAACATATATGCCCTACTAGACAAATCATCTATATTAATTAAAATTCAAATTCTTCAATAATTCAATAATCTTTTAAGAATTATTCTTTCGAATCTCACATATCTCAATATCAGATTGTTGATTCTAAAAATGCGAAATGTGAATATTAAATAAACTAATTATATAAATATAACAATCCAATACTACTTACATCATTATTTAACTTCGAAAAGGAATCAATATTAGTAAATGAACCCTGTGATGATATTACGATTCCAGACATAGGTTGACTCAACACCCAATGAATCATTTCTCTCTAATGGAATTTGAATCTCATCACTTGTTAAAACCACTTCCTTCCCCTTAGATCCAGAGGATTCAGACTCGACCTATTATTACAATTACATAAATTCATTTTCTATTTAACAGATAAAGTTCAAATAATACCTGTTTCATATCTAAAGATCTACACTCATCACAGTACCAATTTCCGGAAGGTATTTCATCAATTGAAGGCTTTAAACAATAGGTATGATAACCATTACCACAATTACCATCACATAATAAAATATGAGCTGGATCATTTTTTCGTTCACATCTGAAACACCCACAAAATTTACAAAATTGATTTTGCAACCCGTAACACTTCTCGCAATCAAACCAATCCTCAACATTCCCTTCATCCTCATTTTGCCGATTTTTTAATTTTCGCTTTAAAAATTAATTGTTTTAATATTTTTAATTAAATATACTAACAACATAATAAATATCATTAAAATATTACCTTGTTGATATTAAATTGAACATCTTTTGCAACCTTTCCCTTTGATACTCTGAAAAATTTATTTAACTTCAAATTTCAAGGAGGATTTCTCCTCTGAAGTTGATAACTCTGATCCACACTCGCCGATGAAGAAGTTTCATCATCTTGAGATTGTATTGATGGCACAGTTTCCTTCTCCCCAGATTGATTACTCTGATCGACACCAGTCGATGGCACAATTTCATTTTCCCGAAGTTGATTATCTTGATCGACACCAGTCGATGGTACAGTTTCCTCCTCCTGAGATTGATTATCTCGATCGACACCAATCAATGGCACAATTTCCTCTACTTGAGGTTGATTAATATCTTTTATCTGATCAGAACCAGTAATTTAACAATTCTATCAGAATAAAAATTGCTAAATATTGCTAAATATTTAATATCAAAAACATAAAACCATACATGAATGTCGTCGACAAGTTCATCCTCAGTTGATGTGGTATCATCATCAATGTATATAGGATTATCTTTATTTGAAAAGGTAAGTTCTCTCGATAAACGAAAAAAAACATTCTCTTTCATAAGAACTGCACCCGGGGCATCAATCTTTATGGCTCGAACTTCATCATCATTAAATGTTACATTTATTGTTTGATCAAAAATAATCGAAACAATCTTTCCATGAGTTGCCTTCCATATAAAATTCACCAAGCGATACACGACCTCTTAACTATCCTCTATTGTTTCAATAATCATGTTTCAGGAAATGTAAAAAAATATTTTAGTTAAAAGTTAATGTTCATTTATAACATAATTTCATCATTATTAGAATATTCTCTCACCACAATCATAAAATAGAAATGTAAAACATCATTACGAAAGAAAAAAAGAAAATACATACAAAATAATCACTTGATTTATATAAATTATAATCATAATTATTATAAAATTATGCGATTATGTATTACAGACATCATAATCATTACAAATATAAAATTATGTAATATGCATCATAAGGATTGTAACCAAATTACAAATGCGTAATGATACGTAACGTAATTATCATAAAATATGAAATTATGCAATATGTATCACTGACATCATAGTCATTACAAATATAAAATCGTGTGATATGTATCATAAGGATCATAACCAAATTACAAATATAGTGATATGTAATATAGAGAATCAACCCAATCACCTTGCATTATTTGTAGATGTTTTTTACTTAAATTTTAAAATCTCTTGATTCATTTATAAATTATCATTCTCTCACATATGGCGTGAATCACACACTGACCTGAAACGACGAGAATTTCATTCGAAAATAATCCCCTTCCATATTCCATCACAACTATTTTCATCTTGTTCATGTGATTTACATCACGATCAACCTCCAATATTACATCTCACTCACCCGGAAAGCATTTTTGCACTAAGCTTCATATTGAGAGGAAAAAACTAGAGGTCTCGATCAATCAGACAAAAAAAATTTCACTTGATTTGGATAATTCTCGATCGAGTTGGACCCCCCACCTCGTAGGACGATCACTTTTGAGGAGCAAGGAGAAATTCACAAACCATCGAATATCTCCACGGATATCGATTTACCCCCTAAGCTTCATGTTGACAAAAAAATTCTCGAGGTCTCAAGCCTTCCGAAGATAGTTGTCCGCAAATGATTGACTTGAAATTCATTGAGATCGTGTGGGTCATCCAAACGTGATCACGATGAAAATATCACTTTTTCTCAATCTTCATCCACTCTTTCATCCATTCCGATCGAACAAAGCATCTCTCATTATGACAAACCATATATTTTCTGAAAGCCAAGATCTCGAGGCACCTAAAGATGATCCCCTTGCGAAATTTGAATGACTCCTTGCGAAGATATCAAGCGTTTAAAACAAATGCAAAATTACGATTCCAAAATTTTCTGAAAAATATGTTGACGATCTTTGAGACAAAATGTAAATCCCTTGATCATCGGCCCTGTAGAGGAACCGGCACTTTTCCTAGCCAAAATTACAAAAATTTATAGATTTTCACATGGCCAAAATTACGGCTACAGGGCCAAAAAGTGATCTACATTTTGTCTCAAAGATCGCCATTTTGTCTCAAAGATCGACGCGTCCGGTGATCAGCATCGGCCCTGTAGTGATCGACATTGGCCCTGTAAAGACATAGTGACGATCTCTCTGAGACAAAATGTAGATCACTTTGGGCCAAAATGTCATAATTCGGCCCTGTAGGGCACCTGGTGTCTCAGGATCAGCACTATATTAGAATTTCGATTTTTTTTTTTTTTTTTTTATGATTGCTTCCGATTCTTTCCATAAAGGATCTACATTTTGTCTCGGGCTTGTCACTTTTTTAACCATTACATGATAATACTCGATCAATTTGGCTGGCTTTGCTACCAAATCTCCCAAAAAGTGACTTGGCCCTGGGCAAATGCCACCAAGACCTATTGTTGGCAGGGAAATTGCATGGGGTGTGGCCACGATGCACAATCTGGTATGTTGCATACCTTGAAAATTGAAAATAATCAGTGGGTTGCATAAGCGATAACGAAATAATTAGAGTTTAAAATAGACTTTTCATAACTTCTCTTGTAAGGATAGTCTATTGATAGTTTAATTTCATTGTTATCTTATGATACAAATAGAAGAGAAAATTGTAGAAAGTAAGAGTAATACAAAGTACGAAGTATAAAAATTATAAAGAAAACGTTTTCTTAAATTAAAATCTTCTTAATTAGGATGTAAAATAGTTGTTGCCAAAAGGAATAAAAACTAATTAACTTACCTAATCTAATACTTGTTGCAGATAGGATGCTTGAACCACAAAGTGAAAAGTGATAACGATCTGTCAAAAGAAGTAACAATGAAAAAAAAAAAAAGAGTTGGTGAAACTTGACTAAACAATCCATATGCCTCGAGTAGAGAAGTCAAACACTTATGAATGTTACATAAGGAGTGCTCCAAAGGAGTGACAGACTTGTCGAGAGAGATGTTAACAATATATTGTCGCAGATCAGAGGTCTATCAACAGTAACAGTGAAAAACCTAGACTTTGCAATACTTTGACAGAAGTATTCAATAAAACAGGGGGTATAAAGGCTGAAAGAAATGTAAATTTGACAAGTTTGTGTGATTTAAAAGTTTTTTTATTGATCAGAACAGTATAATAAGTATAGTGATTTTTTCTAATAAATACTTTTTATTTGGATAATTATTTTTGAAGGAGAACCAAAAATTTTTAGGGTATAAATTTACTACCCCATAATTTAAAATTCACAATTATTTTTTTTTAATGTTAAGTGAGGCATTTCTCACGATCTTTATTAATATAGTAAAATGGATTGTTACATGATTAATATTAAGATGTAAGATATATTGCTATACATATCAGCCTACTACCCGATTAGTTATATCTCTGGAAAAAAACCCTGAGCAGGGAAAAGAAGAGGAACTATCTAATCTTGGAGGGCTAATGCCACCTTAATAATTTATTCTATCCTGTAGGGGCATGGATAGAGTTTTGGAAAAAAGTTTAAGTGTATATCAGTTAGTTGCTGTTGATGGATTTGTTTGTCGCTGTTTGATGGGTTATTTGTTTGTGTTTTGTTGTAAGTAGTTGGGTTTTTGTTTAGTTTTTTGTTGTTGTTTTTCCTGTATTTAG